TTTGTTTTCCTGTTACTTCATTAAAACCAGAATTTAAAAGAAGTCGGTGCTTGTGAGAAAGTTCAGTTGTATCTTTGAATTCTGAGGAAGGTAAATCCAGCTGATGACTTAAAACCTAAACCCATGATATCKAAGCACAGTCACTGAAACTTCATTTTTATCCTCAAATCTGAAAATAGCTCAAGCAATATTGGCTTATCGCTGCTGGCCAGAGTTAGAAAAAGATTCTATCTTCTCTGATCTTCAAAGGTCCCTTCCAACCCAAACCATTCTATGACTTTATGTTTCTATGATCTGCCTCTCCCTGACACCTCCTGGATTTGTCACATTCAATTAGTTTAAACTCCAGATTGATAATTTAAAATACTGGCAATGTAAATGCATCATGGTCCCATATCAAGACCATATCCACAAAATAATTTGGTGCCTTATCCCATGATTCTGGGATGGCACAGACTTCTGTCATGATCATGCTTCTACAAAGKCATGTGTATGAGTCTGTTCTGCCTCAGATAACTAATCTACTGTCATTAATCTTTATTAAACACTGTTTGGGATTTAACAACTTTTGTTTGAATCTTTGCTTTAGATCTCTAGATTCATATTTCTATGAAATGGAAGATCAGTTCTTCCCTGAGTGACTAATATGGGAGATCCGCTTCATGGGAATATTTTTCGGTGCACATTTGTATGCATTGTATATTGAAAAATTAAACGAAGTTTCTCTTTTCAATCTCCAAAATTTTACATGCTTTTACATGACACTAACRTAAGTTAGTGTCAAGGTAGCTCAATATAACTTTGCCATAGTTTGTCTTAACAAAAAGCCTTAAACATTGAAATAGCTCATGTTCTTTTGTAAAAGTATTTCACCTATRTAAGCAATCTATACGTAGCATAAATGTTTATTTTTAAACTCTACTGAATATCACAAGATGGAAGACTGGGACAAATTTCTGAGGGTATATCAGACCTGGAGTTTGAAAAGCAATCAAACACGAGCGGAACATTTCTTACTATCTACCAAAATTAATTCTGGCAAGAAGCCTACAGACTTCGGAAGCACTTAGATTTATGATATGACATACATATAATTTAAATTACACTGCAGAATTACATTTGCTATATTAATCTCAAACCTAAATTTTTTCTGCTTATACAGATCCTATTTCTAGATTAACTCAGGGTGGATTTGCCTAATTAAGCACGTCATTGAAGCTTCCTGGCAATGCAAACTGTCTGAATCAGTGATGTGAACTATAATGTGTGGGATTCTAGCAAAAGCAAGAGTCAATAATACCAAYGATGTATTTCTTCGTACAGCATTCAAAGGCTCAGTGCCTAAAATCCAGATGCACTCCAAGGGATCTAGTCAGCTGTCTGAATTGAACCTTGACTTTGAATGTCCCTTCTCAGTCCCCACAGTGATGTACATCCWTCAGGTGTTCTGGCAAAACAGAAATTCAGCTTGTTTACAAATGCTGGAGGGTGCTTGGAGTATAAGAAAGCAGAAATTAATTGTCTCACAGTTTTTGGCCATTTTATAGTGGTTGGATTTGTGAATTAGAATGATGAAGAAATATATTGTTACCAGCTCACTTTATCCTTTTTCTTTCTTTTTTTTTTTTTTTTAAATCACAGATACATAAATTACATTTAACAGGATGAAGTGAATGATCTTTATCATCTAGGAGAATTAATCTATGTAATGTGCTGTCCTAAATGAGACATCTGTCACAGGCTGTATCTCAGTTGGGAAGATGGATTCTGTGCTTATGAGTAGCTTCTAGGTACTGYGGTAGCTGCCAGGGTCAATTAGCAAGGGGTGTGGTGCAAGAGAAATGGATCTGGACAGCACAACATTTGATGCCAAGGACCTGACACCCCATTACATGTGTCCTGAGGAGTACTCTGGACTAGATGTTGCCAACTGGATGCCCAGAAAGGTTGGAGAACATTAGGTATTCTCCAAGAAATCACAGTTTTCAGAATAACCCAAATGTCACCTTGTGCATGTACCCTGAACAGTTCCACAGTGAAAATCAAGGTATGGGCAGTTCAGGCAATTGAGAGATTTCCCTTAAAAGCATGTTTCTAATTTGAATTAAGACACTCAAGTAGACATATCCATGGATTGTAAGGCAACGCAAGCCACACCTGGGCTCACTTGCAGAATAGTTATTTTGCCTTGCTGTCCTTCATCCTGATCCCTGCAGCCAGAGAAACTGCACTGTGTCMGCTTATGAAAAGCAGGGAAGGGTGAGGGAATAGGTGGTCCCTGGCAATATTTTACAGCTCTGTCATTTGCTGGATATTGGATCTCCATAGTCCATTGCAACTAAAGCAACTGATCACAGCAAAGATAACATTTGCATTGCTGTCTTCTTACTTTTTGGCAAAACAGTTTCRGGAGTCAGCTATACTGTCTTGTCTGGCTGCCAAGGCAATTTGATGCTGAGGTGTGCTAAAYAGTTAATGAAGGACTGTGTGAAAAATATTCTGGGGGAACCTTGACAGCATCCAGGCTCTGGATCTGAAACTGTCCCAGCAACTGAAAGGCTTGGAGATTTCCCTTTTCCTGTACGCATGTTGCTAACTCATGGAGATGCCAGATCACCAGGAATTGCTCAGCTGGCTATTAGGGAGGATGTGAAGGCAGTGACAGACTCTGCAGTTCTGCTAAAGAAGCAGCTGACACTGCCTGTGCATGCTGCAGGAATATCGATCTCTTTTTTCATCCTGTTCTGGCAGGAGTCAGACGGATACCTTACAGATCTTGTAAGTACCACAAGGCACCAGAAAGCTGGTTCTAGCACTGCAGAAAAAGTACTACAAMTTTCCTGCTGCAATTTAGGGTTGCTTGAACCTTAGAGCAGGACAGAGGAACCAGCTTGCTCTTGAATAATTGTTTATTCTTTCCTTCTGATCCCTTTTTGACCTTTCCAGCTCCTGGGTCGTTGTGTCTCCTGAATTCAGTGGGAAGAGAATTCCTTGGGATGACCTCAGATTGAAGGTCCCCATCTGTATGCATTCTTCCCAGGAAGATCARGGTTACTGTAACTAGACTGAAAAGGTCCAGGATCAACACCATCTCCAACATTGTAGTGCACCCAACAACCATGGATACCCCAYCCCTGGAARTGTCCAAAGTCAGGCTGGACAGGGCCCTGAGCAATCKGGTCTAGCGGAAGGTATRCCTGCTCATGACAGGGAGTCGGAACTGGATGACTTTTAAGGACYCTTCCAACCCAAACCRTTTTGTGATTCTATAATCAAAATATCTTTTTCACATCATCAAGTAACAAAAAAAATCCTCACATGCCTTTGGCATGCAGAAAGAAAGTCTGCCATGAAACCTGCCCCAGAGTTTATGTGACTTTGTAAAGGTTGAAGTGGAACAGAAATTAAATTAGGCAGTGACTAGAGGTCATGGAGAAGAAAGGGCAAAAAAAAAAAAAAAAAAAAACAAAAAAAAAAAAAAAAAAAAAAAAAAAAAAAAAAAAAAAAAAAAAAAAAAAAAAAAAAAGACAAACCACAGGAGGAAAAAGGTAAAAGGATAATCTTTAACCTGTCAAGGAACTAGTATTTTGAAAGACAAAAAAGCTACCTAGAGGATTTTGTGGGCTTAATTGGACTTGGTTCTTTTGTAGACATCTGCTGAGCCCTACTTTT